GCCGTTGTCAAACAACAGGTACTGTTCTATGTAGAGAGAAAACAAACTGGATGACAACGGAAAACAATGCCGCCGAACGGAAATGCCAACTGGAATTTAAGTCAGCTGATTAGTGTTGTCATTGGTCGATCGAGGGTCGACTATTTACCGAACGGAGGGAGAGAAAAAAAAACAAAAAGTCGCTTTTAATCAAATTGGCAATTTATTTTTACACGCAGTTTGAGCTGATTATTTTCGACCAAATTGACTGAAAGTTAAAATAAAAGTTATTTGAATTTCAATTATCTAAATAAGAAAGTGTAAGAAAAACTAAAAAGTTCTATTGATTTAGTTTTTAACAGTTCGAAGTATCAATCTGTTCTATCAAAAAAAACTTTGAATGTTTTTTCTTTTTTTCAGATCCCCTCAACCAAATTGCAAAAAGGTTTTGAAAAAAAAATTTTGAGTCAATCATAGCAAAAACTGCAAAACCAAAACCAAATCAAAATCGCTGGTGATACAATTGCATTCTCGGGAAAAACGTGAAATCCATGACGCTTTTGAAGTTTACAGTGATAAAAAATAGTGCATATGTAAACCATTTTTAGTGAATTATTCCTGATATGTGGAGTCTTCTAAAAAAACAGCGTCTTCAGAAAAAAGTATTTTTAACGATGAAAAAATTCAAAAAATAAACTGACAACTCATATGTCAAAATTGCTTTTTTAAGCAGCCAGTTCAACTTAACTTACTGAAAAAAGAGCCTTGGATCCAACGCAAAGTGTTTGTCTACATTTTTTGATGAGAAGACTTTTGTAGATTTCGGGGATTGCTTGTCTAGGTCCGTTCACACACTAACTTAACGGTACCGCAAAGTGGTGCCTTTGGTAAAGAATTCAGCAAGGCGACCGAGATTCACTACTATCGACAACAATCTCGAAAGGGTTAAATTAGTGGTAACTATTCTGTACTGTGTTCTGTTACTTGCCCCCTTTGATACTGCTCCTGCGGCTGTCTCGACCGCTCTCACCGATCGCAAGAAATTCTAGTTGTAATTAAATTTTAGATAAAATATGGTCCAAATACAGAAGGCTCTAGGGGGCCAGAATAAAATCTAGAAATCTAAACAAAAAGAAAGGGGTCCGCAATCAATCAGCACAATTGCCTAATTGCAATTCGAGTCCCAACTGACATAGCTGACAATTCTCTCATCTCAAGAGAATCCTAGTTAATGAAATACTCACAGTAAATCCACACAATCACAGTAAATCCACACAGTCTGACCTGCTAAAATTAATAGTTTCACTAGGGATCACTATTCCTTTGAGGTACTTTGACTAGTCTCTTAACTTCGTGATTTCTGATTCTCGGAAAACCAACTAGACTCAAACTCGTTATCAATTGCTCTCTAACTATTGAGAACCCAACTACTCTCACTCGAAGCTAATTTTTCTTCTCTACTAATGAGAATCAAATACTCATAATCGTAGCTCACACTGTTCTGCCTGAGGGTAGGCTGCTTGTTATTCTTTTAATGTTTGTCTATTCAAGTTTTAGTTATAGTTAGAGTTATGTCAACCCCACAAGTCCTGACATTTACTTTGGTACCCATTTCGCGAGGTCTTAACTGAAATCTTCCTCTGACGACACTAGTATTAAATTCCAAGTTCACTATAGGTATCTCTAGCTAATTTGTGCAAATATCAAGTCCAATTTCACCTCCAAACCAAGTTATGTTTAATTAACTAATCTCCCAAGGTTTTTATTTAATTATCCCATTAATGTCTCGCACGGGTAGGGGAAGAACCTTTTTATGGGTTGCTACTTCATTCCAAGCATCAAAAGTTCCAATATATACCCTATTCAAATCCCGACCTTCTTGCTATCAGGGGAACGAGTTCGCTTATTGGTGATCAAATCAAGCTAAAAAGCCCTCTCCGGGAAGCTGGTTGATTATCTCATCCATTCATGTTATTTAGGAGTCCTACTTCCCATGCTATGTTTCAATTACTGCCGATTTTTTTTTCAGAGTGAATTTTTATTAATAGCGCATTCGCCAAGCTAAGTTGAACTCAATGTTTGCCAAATCCACTTTAATTAGTTCCACTACCTCAATCATGCAATGTATAAAATTTATATCTCTTTCAGTTTCTGCTCCATTTCCAAATAGGCAATTTCCCTACCAAATATTAGTAAGGTGGCCGATTCTCATTCCCGAGGCTTGGGGTTGGGGAATACGCCACTTTCCGGTGTTAATCCCAGGGTTTTCCATGCAATTTAAGTCCTAATTGCCCAAAGGTCATTTAAAGGGCACTCCGGGGTCACCCGGGGTCATTCTTCCACATTCAGGTTTAGAATTTCATAGGGGTCCGACCTACTAAGTTTCATCCGTATCCCGTAAATACTTCCCAAGTTATCCCATTCATGATGTCCATTGTCAGTTTTCCCGGGAAAAAGCTATTAGCACCGGAAGGAGTCGTCGAAGGGTTTTTTCACTCATAGGGGATAAACAAGTCTGCTTGTCATTAAATGGTACTCGAGTAGATGTTAAAAGATGCAAGGACCTCAAGAAACTCGCTATCTACAGCAATTCCTGAAAATCTCTGATGAAAAATCACGACTGGAAGCAAAATTAAATTGCAAGGGTCAAAGTGCAAATTTGTTTGACATCTTGATATTTACAAACGAAGAAGTTATGGAGTTCTTAGATCAATTTGTAGCCATAGGTCACCGGTTTTGGACATGTATTTGCTCGCCGATTAATATGGGAGAATACACAAAGCGCTATACTTTTGAAAGAACTTGGCTCAAGTAAGTTTCGTAACAAGCGACATTGCGTAACAAGGCACTGGCAAGTAGAATAAACGTGCTCAGTTTCGCTGCGCTGCGCTTACATCCGGCACGAGAGGCATACTGCGCGTGAATCAATGCTCCCGCTGAATTAACTGTTACGAATTGTCGCCCCACGGTAAAAATAGCGCAGGCTGGTCTTAAAACGAATATTATCCACCAGTTAATACGGATATTTATTGCATGCAAATTGTTGAATTTACTTTGTATGATCAATCGGCGAGGATAACAAGAAAAACATGCGATAATTTTTTTTCTCTCTTAAATTTGTTGTTTTTTCATCATTTTTAAGTGAAGGTTCCACAAGTTCTTTTTTCTACAATTTTAGGCTTTCTGATCTTTTTCATATGAATAACGACAAAAACGCTTGCTTTTAATTTATTTTATTTTTTTATGATAAACTATGAAGGGGAAATTGCTGGTCAAAAGTGATGAAACATCACAGACTGTTCATTGGTTTGCCAGTACGGTCATCCAGCAGGTCCCACAGGGGAAAAAGGACTGAAGTAACTACAAATGACATCCGGGTTGCACTGCTCAGTCTTGGAAGAGGATGCATTTTGCTATTTACACTCGCTTTTGGAGGCAATGTTTCTTCAAGCTTATTTGGCAACTTACTTCATTTGGTTGGATGCACTAAAAATTTGGACGGTGACTATCTACTGCTCTTCCGACTTTTGAAGAATGTGAGCAAGAAATATGCTCGACTTTTTATCAGACCGATTTTACAACACTCCTTACTCCCTAGGGGGTTCGATCTTTTGATTTACATGAGATCAGCTGGGTGTGCACACCACTATAGTATCCTGCCAAGTATCTGACTAAACTGCTCCCTTAATAATTTACAGGTGGCAATTTATCCCGCGCTAAAAGTTGTTCCAAATTGAATTGAGGCAAACTAATTGGTCTTGCTCTGAACATTCAGAGTTTTGGGGTCTTATGCGTAAAATGGCCCAAAAATCAAAATTGAAGCAAAATGAAAACTAAAACTGAAACTGATCCTGATTGGCTAATATTAGCCAATCAAATTCGAGCAACTAGGTCCGCCATTTCGATTGATACTGAGATTAATCCTGATTGGCTCGTATAATATGTAATAACTGAAGTAATTGTACGTTGATTATGTGTTTTCAATTTGAAATAAAAGTTCTGACTATTTTCCTAATTTTGGGCCGTTTACCGCATAAGACCCGGGTTTTTCCCTGATACAAGCAGTCGTGTTTTCATTTCATGTCCAGTAATAATTCCTAGGACAATCGGTGACCTCAGCGGTGGCGCGTGAATCACAATGCTAACTTTCTGCAACGATTGCTCTGAAACTAGTCTAATTAAACTATGGTCTTTTAGCACTTTGATGCTTAATGTGTAATGCGAATTTTTTCATGCGCACAAATTATCCCTCACTACATAAAGGTTCTAAGTTGAATTGAAGCCAGCTAGTTCGTTGGTCTTATTGATTCATTATATGACTCATTTTTTACCTCAAAATTACTATGACTCAAATTATGACTCAAAATTATTGTTTTTGAACTATAATTAAAAATTTCAAACTTTGTCAATATTTTTTATCAAAAATTAATTGAGACCAGTCAGAGGGTAGTCGGAACATTCGAAGCTCTAATCTGATACTCGGTTGCGTGGTCTTATTAAGAGGCTTAACTGTGCAGTACATAGGCGCTTAGAGTTCGGGGTCTATAGGTCTCTGGAATCCGGAGGCAAATCTGAAAAGATTCTAAAGTTTTGTCGCAACGATCAAAGAAAACGAAATAACAACAGATCCGCTTACACTTCACGAAACGCACAGTTTGCCCTCGTAATGTAATCCAAAGCATGAATGACGCGACTGCAATTCAATACTCTCATCGGAGTGCAGCCAGTAATTAGACAGCCGCGTATTCATACTCGTCAGTATTTAGACAAATACTGTATGAACCAATCAGAATCGAGAAAAGACATAAATAATCCAAAATAAATAATAATTATTTATTTATTTCTTCTTTGTCTCGATTCTGATTGGTTGAAACAGTATTTGTCTAAATACTGACCAGTCTGACTACGCGGTTGTCTAAATACTGACATGTAACCACTCTCATCATACCATACAAAATAAAACTTTTGTTTAAACATGATTGATTGACGTAATTTTAAATTTAGAGTTTCATCATTACTAAATATATATTCAACGAGAAAAGTTTGCTTTACGAGACAAAGAAGCGCGTTCATTGTTTGGAGATTATTCGTCAAAGTGTGTTTTTTCTTCTGATTAACTTCAGCTTTTGCATCGGCCGAAAAAAATAAATTGACTATAAAACTATCTGAAAATTAAAGAAAAACTAGTTTACATTATCTTTAATTCAAGTTCCTTTTTTCTACAAAAACGGAATAATTGAAAGTTTGTAAGAAATATAATAAATTCACAATTAAAAAGATGGCTCTTGAAGCATCCCAGATTTATCCAGGTTGTGAAACATTTTCAGCTGAGTTTGATGATGATGGGGTTTATTTTTACCAAGCGTACAACAGTGAAATAGCTGATTACGCAATCGAGCATCAGAAGTTGGGTGGGGCTAACTACAATACAGGTACAAGTATATTAGATGGGTCCATTAATGGTGATAACAACTTAATTTATTATTAATGGTGGTAAAAATAAGTTAACAGCAAGTATAGTTATAGACAAATCCAGGATTTTGAAAACGTTGGGCCGGACTTTTGAATAATTTCAAACTTTTTGAGGTAATTTCATTTTTTTATTTTAAAACGTTCTGTCCTTAAAATATTGATAGAATTTTTCTGGAAATATTTGGAAAAAAACTGTTAAAAAATGTTTAGAAGCATTTATCTACCGCTACTTGCATTCTTTCCTTTTAAATTTTTGTAAACGTTAGCTATTTTTCGTCATTGAGTTGTTTTCATGATTTAGGGACCATTCAAGATTTAGGGACCATTTCTAATATACTTTGTACAATAACTGGCTTTCAGAACGAATGACCTGGATCAAGCCCAGTTTTGCTTGGGTCCTGTTTCGATCCGGTTATGGGAAGAAACATAATCAGAACCGAGTTCTTAAGATCAAATTGTCACATGAAAGTGTAGCAACTTTGCTCAGGTATCTTTTGGCGCACTTTTTCGATTATTTTTAACTTGTTTGATACATTACTCATTATTTGAGGAAAAGATTTTTTAAAGTAGAACCAGGCTGAACTGAAACAAAAATTAGAATATTGGAAAATGAAATTCCTCGAAATCTTCAGCTTGTAAGAAATGGTTGTCGAAATTTACCATTTCGTACAATAAGTGAATATTTTATAATCAGTTAATGTAATAGTTTTGGTTGTTTTTAGCCAGTGCAAATGCAAACACGGAGGCGGTGGTAGTCTTGGTCGGGTCCAGTGGGACCCAGCACGTGACCTCTGGACCTCCGAGGGACGGGAACCCAGAAAAATCACCCGACAAAAAGCCATTCAAATTGGTCTCAAAGGACGGCTGAACAAACTCTATGTTGAAAGCATTCTGTCGATTGATGACGCCACATTATTGTGTCATAGAGTTCACGACGCTCATTCTAGGAAGTCAGTTGAAGTAAAAGAAGAAATGGAGAAAATAAAAAGTGATTTGCCAATTGAGAGAACTTATTTGCCAAAATGTAGTCCAGTAAATCTGATGAAACTAAAATTGCTGCCAATGGAATCATTATAATAACATCAATTTTGTGTTTTTGAATAGATAATGATCTGCTTTTCAATGAGGTCGCAGATTTGATTTGAGAAATAGCCTCAGTTAATTAAGATTTTGCGGCATTTTTACAAATTAGCATTTGCATATTTTAGCACAACACACCCCTCTATCAGAAGTGGTTTACGTAGGGTGGGGGAATCCTTATGAACTCAAAAAAATGTCTTGAAAAAATGCAATGCTTCTCAAACAACTTTGTTTTTCTTTTCGGCCACTCGGTCTTTTCGCCAAGAGATTTAAGCTTTTTAAATTAATCTAGTTAATTGCAACAATATTTCCACCGTCATTTACCAGTAACAGCCTATTTTTCAGAATCTATTAAAACTTTAAAGCATAATTTTTGCAAAACAGATATTGCAACCGATATTGATTCCTCTATTTTATCTGGGTTCGACCTAACCCTCGTCTTAATCCGTTAAGATTAGTGTAATCATATAACCTGCATATTGACAATGTTTAAAGCATTAGGATATGAAACTTTATCTGAATAGAATCCGCCATTTTAAATTTTGTAGGGTCTTCAAAACGGCTCAATAGCATATAAGTGCGCTAGTAGCGAAAAGTCACTTTAAATTCAATTGTTCAAGCAACCCACTAAAAAAATGTTGTCGCAAACTTTTAGTCCAGTGCAAATTTTTATCGAAAAATTTTGAATTGGCTGTACGCAAAAACAATTCAATAATAAATTGACTTAGTGTACAGCCAAATCAACTAGTTTCTCTAAAACCTTGCTGATTTGTTGATAATAAAAACTAGCGCTATATTGATAGGTTAGGACAACATTTTTGTGGGTTGCTACCTTTTCAATCAAAAGTTAGACTCAGTTTTGCTTAAAATCAAAAGTTTCAAAGGAATAGATTTAAAAAATGTGGCAAATTGTAGGTAAATGAATCTGAATTGTGGTAAAGTTTTTGAAAATTTTAAGCGAGAAACCACGCTTTTCTAAACTGACTACTGTTTGGTGACCAGTCAATAAGCAGAATGGTCTAAGAGCAGAATGGGTCCAAGAGCAGAAAAACAGAAAAATATCTGCTTTTATTAGCTAATCTGTAAACAAATGATCAGAATTGTCAATAATACCAAAGCAATGAACATTTTATGCATCATTTGAGTAATTTAATCAAGAATTTTTAAGAAAATGTAATCATAGATCTTTATGAAATTAGACAATTCATGCATAATTTATTCGTTTTCTTGGTAGTTTTTGACGATTCTAATAATTGTTTTATCAATTAGCCGGTTAAACCAATTTAAGTCAATATTTTTCTGATTTTCTGCTCTTGGACCCATTCTGCACTTGGACCATTTTGCTTATTGCTCCGCTTCCGTACTTTTTCAATCCGGTGGCGTCCCTCATGCTTGAAGGACCAAATGCTTGAAATTTATTTTAGCTTACTTTCACCCAATCAGAACTGAGTATTCAAAATCTCAAAATAAATCGTGAAAATCTCAAACTAAGAAAATAAATCCAGGCCATTAGTGTTAATATTGACTGATTAGATAATGAGCAGATGACTTTTCAAAACTAAAAAATTCTTATGAACTTGAACTCATAAATCTTGATGTGTATCTGAATAATATTGCGGTTGTAACCCGCAATTTGTAATATTTCAGATTTTTTCCACTGATTTAAAACATTTTCTGTTAATATTGACTTCGATTTTGTGAGAAAGGCATCTAGCCAATAGGAACGCTTAGCGATTTTGATTGGTTGAAACTTTTCAAGCATTCGGTTCTTCAAGCACGAGAGCCCTCCCCTTTAATCCATTCAAGTCACCCCAGTTTTCAAAACATTCATAAAAACATTGTTTACTTCTTCAATTAAGCAACTGAAAAATAAAACAATTTCATAGATAATTTTAAAACTTAAGAACGAAATAGAACCAAAAAAAACTTAAGCATTAAAAAACCAATTGATTGTGAAAATTCCGTTAAAAAATAAATTATAATTGATCATAATAAAATATGACCATAATTAAAAAGGAAAGTTTTTTGCCTAGACCTGTTATTAATTCTGCACATAATTGTACCCGCTAGCTTTTGAATTCCACTAGACAGGATTTACATGTTTTAGACTATTTTACCGCTGAAGTGTGGAGAGCAGAGCAGGGCCACCTTCTTAAAATTTTGATCGAGAAACATAATTTGTTCGACATAATTTGTTTTGGAGTGAAAATTGTAGAACTTCTATAACAAACATAAAATGCAAAGTTTACTTACAACAAATGAGTTTGCAACCTTTCTTAGCGTTTTGAATGAAAAAATTACCATCAACAATTTTAATTTTTAATTTTTTTTTTGTTTCAAAGAGTAATTCTTTAAAAACAAAAACATCAATGAACGCAAGTTCTATCTGTGATTAGCTTGATGCAGATAACCTGATTGTAGATATTATTTTATACGCACTGAATTTTTATGTCGTGTTTTGAAATTGATTTAAATTAAATGATGTCATTTGTAGAAGTTTTCCATTGTTTTACGACAACTCAATCAACCCACATCATCTGCAAGATGAGCTTGCTTGCTATGAAAAAAGAAAAAATACACATTAAGAACTTTTGGCGATTTTAAAATTTTTTTCCGAACACCCGACATTTGGTCAATAAAAAAGTCAAATATCTTATCATAGCTTATCAAGACGAAGCACATCAATTTTTAGTTGTTTTGAAGGAGTTTTTAAAATATTTAAATGAGAGCTGCTATTCATTTTTTATGGATTTTTTGGAAACTTTTTGTATATGAACTTATTCTGATTTAAAATTCTAATATTCGAAAAACCAGGTGTCTTTCAACTGATAGCATGGACTTTAAGAAAACCTGAATGAAATTTTTTGAACCTTATCTTACGAAAGCTATTCAATAGTAAGGCTCAAATAGCTGAAAACCTTATCAGGCAAAGATAAATTAGTTGTTTGTTTTGTTGCTTCAACGGCAGCTCTGATTCATTTTTTTTCCACATTTTGTTTTTGAAAAATCTTGCATAACAATTTAGTAATTTTGTTGGAATGAAAAGTTTCAGTGACACTCAATAACAGCTTAGTTAAAACAAAAACATGCCTTTATGCGAAATTTTTTTATCGCTGTTTTTCTCCTCAGTTTTGCTTTTCAACTGATTCTTATTCAAATTCCGGTTCAAATCAATGCGCTCCATGAAACTTTAAAAAATCTACTGCTAGCAAATCATACGTTAATGAAATTAATTTGTCATGATCTTGGCTTTCATAAATGAAAACGAAAAACTTTTCGACCGAAAAAAATTATCTGAAAGGTAATAGTAACTAAGAGTGAAATGCAAAAATGCAAGTTGGAGGGGTCTCGGAGAAAAACTGAGCTTCTTCTAGATCTCTAATTTTTATCTCCTTATTGCAATAATTTGGATGGGTTGCTTAAAATCCTGTCGTTTTTTTGAGCTCTTATCAGATCCGATATTCTGTTTCTTGCCTTAACGTGCTTTTTTACTGCCATCCTTTTACCAGCTGGGATTCTCCACAAGGAGTGTATTCCTCAACCTTCACGCTCACGATTCTGCTCAAATTGTCATTGAGATGCTCAGGTTCAAGAATTGTTTCATGTTTTATTAATGAGAGTTGCCTGAAAATTTTTCACGATATTGCTGTCATCTTTTTTCTTTGCCGCCTCTCTACCATTCCACCAGAATGCCGCTGAGAAATTAGTTCGACGAAACAAATTTTATATGAAGGGGTTCGATCATACGAAATAGCTATGCTAGCAAGAAACGTCTTCATTCATAGAAATGGAAAAATTAGGAAGGTTCAGTTTGACTGACACGCTGTTTTTCAATTTGTTCAAAGGGAAAGTCACGTTACAATTTTTTTTCGCGACCACTGTAAAGCGCAAGGACTTTTGCGATTAAGAATTAGACAACGAAGATAGAGAGAACGTTCGAAAATTGAAGTCAACAATGTTTCATAAACAGACGTCCCGAGCTGTAGCGGTTGAGCAGTTATAATCGTTACAGAGCAAAACCCGCTAACCGGGAAGGCTAACGGGAGAAGTTGCTACCCATACCCATCGTGAAGAAAACGCTTCTTCACACGGAATCGAGAAGCCGGAGGGGTCTCGGAGAAAAACTTTTAACAAAAATTCTAACAATTTTCAGCTTCCCGGAAGGTTTTGAATTGAATTTATTAAACATCAAATTCCCTTTCAGATAATGAGAAGCTAGTATTGAAGGAAAGAAGCAATCCATCTCCGATGGATGGGAAGATTGTATCTACCGAACAAAATCAAAAGTAATATAGTGACTCAATAGTGAAAGTGTTTAAGCCCTGATATTATAAGTGTCCTCATAGTCTGAGGATATTGAGACCCAACCTTGAGCTCACTACTTTTGTATGCAATTAAGCTAGTGTGAGCGTTTCGGCCGATAAATTTTAGGTAGCAACGCTTTTGTCGACCCGATGTTATGAGAACCCCATTGAACTGGCTATGGCAGAGACGGTTGAAAGCACGTAAGGCTCTATTTAGAAACTATACAGTAGTCTTAGGATGCTGCTTTTTTCCTTCGGTATGTTCTTCGGGCGAATGTTACAATTCACTCATTTGTGTTCATCATACGTTTCTAATGATGGCTCTTTTGTTAGCTCTCTTCATTGATTTTTTATTTGGGTTTCCACCAGCACCGTGTAAGGACTCTCCGTTTGATCTTCACTCATTACACAGTTTTATTTTGATTTTGTCTTAGATTTTTTTTAAATCAGTAGTTTTGGCCCGTGAGGTCAGTTGATTGGGAAAGTTCTCAATCAAATCGGATACTAGTTCAATTGAACTTCTTGCTCTTCTCTGAAATTTTCCGCCTCCAATCGTTGAATTCTCTATCATGAACCAAGACAACTCTACTCAAGTAAATTACTTGGGCTTATTGCGAATAACAATCAGACTCAAGATTCTTTCCGAGCGTTTCTCGCAATTGTATATTCGGCTGTTTTGAATTCTGACTGTGACTCTCTGACTTCTGTTTTGACTTCTGACTCTCATTTACTGTGAGAA